TATGCGCCAATTAAAAAAAAGTATCATGCTATATTGTAGGTAGCCACCTCCCCTCTTATCTAAGGGGCTACCCCTTATGAACTCCACATGCCAAATTTGGTTCCATTTGCTTGATTAGTTCTCGAGTTATGCAGAAATTTCTATTTCATTTGTATGGGAGCCCCCCCCCCCCCCTTACAGAGGAGAGAGGGGTCTCGAACTATCATAAGAACCTTTCCCTGCCCCCAAAACCCCTGCATACAAATTTTCACGCCGATCGGTTCAGTAGTTTCCGAGTCTATAAGGGTCAGACAGACAGACAGAAATTCATTTTAATATATAGATTGACGCACTTTGGAGCACCTACCATATTTTTGAAATACAGGTCCACAAAGCTATATGGATTCGTATAGTAAATCAGGAATCGTAAAAGACCTCATTTATCGTATGGAACATGAATATCTACACTCCAGGATAATTTGTGTAAATCCCATTTGATACATGGGGGATCTACAAAGCTCTGTGAATGCACATTTGAATTCTGAAACTTTTCGCAGACAGCACACTTCGAAACACATTGTTCAATATCCTGATTCATCCGTGGCCAGTAGAATATTGTTGCAGCAAGCTTTTTGGTTTTGGTTATTCCTCCGTGAGTTTCATGCAGCAAATCTAGCATCTGAGACCTCAAACTATAAGGCACAAAAATCCTATCCTCATTGAATATGATTCCGTTGTCTGGTAAAGCTGGTCTTTAAACCTCCAATAGTATCGTAGCTCCTCAGGTAATTTGGACCGATCATTAGGCCAACCTTCCAAATATAGCTGCTTTAGCCTAGACAGAATTGGATCATTGCTGGTTTCATTTTGAAATTCTGCGATCCTGTCCTCGGAAACGTTAATGGTATGAACGACGTAGTCCAAACTGGAGGATTCCGGTTCTTCCGAGCTCACGAATGCTCTGGAAAGAAAATCTTCCAAATATATGTACTTTCCTGGGACATAACATAACTTAAGATTGTACCTGGATAACTTTATTTTGATTCGTTGAAGTCTCGATGCACGAATTTTTGAAATTGGTTTCTGCATCAAAGCAACCAACGGTTTATGATCCGTCTGCACGTTAACATCTCGACCATAGATGTATTGATGATACTTCTTACATGCAAACAATATCGCCAGGAACTCTTTCTCCACCTGCCCATAGTTCTGCTCACTCGGTGATAAGCTTCTCGAACTGTATGCTACCGGTTTTCCTTCCTGCGTTAAACACGCACCCAATCCACATTTGGATGCAGCAGCCTGGATAGTCACTTCCTTCTCAGCATTGAAAATGCTCAGAACTGTTTCCTTGGTTATAAAATCTTTTATTCGGTTAACCGCTTCTGTATGGATAGGCAGCCACTGGAAAACTGTATCCTTCTTAAGTAATTCCCTCAATGGTGTCGTGACTTCAGACAAACGTGGAAGAAAATTTCGATGGTAATTTATTGAGCCGAGAAAACGTTGAAGCGCCTTCACATTCCTAGGTGTTTCCATCTCCGTAATTGCCTTTGTGCGTTCTGGATCGGGCTCCATTCCTATCTTCGAAAAAATATGCCCCACGTATTTCACCTTCTGTACTCTCAGCTGAATTTTCTTAGCATTAAATCTGGCGTTCACCTCAGCAGCCCTTCGTAACACTGCGCGAAGACGTCGATCATGCTCCTCGCGTGTCCTCCTCGTGATCAAAATATCGTCGATATAAATAATCACTCCGTCGATATCACTGAAAAAATATTCATTCCACTTTTGGAACATTTCTGCTGAAACATTCAATCCAAACGGCAGCCTCAAGAATTTGAAAATTCCAAACGGGGTACTGAACAAACAAATATCACTAGATGCGTCATCCAGCTCAAGATGATAAAATCCGTCCTTGAGATCCAGCACAGTGTAAAACTCAGCACCACACAACGTCGACGCAAGATCCTCCAAAGTTGGAATTTGGTAGAAATCCGTTCTAAGAGCTGCATTCAATTCCGAGGGATCAAGGCACACTCTTATCGATCCATTCGGTTTCTCCACAATGGTCATGTGGTGGACCCACCCCGTCGTTCCTGCTGCATATCCTGTAGTTTCATCTTCAGCTTCTCTTTCAGTGCTAATGCTATTCGCCGAGGTGGGTGCTGAACCGGAACTGCATTGGGTTTAACTGATAGGTGACATTGGCGAGTAAATTTTCCAACTCCTTCAAATACGGTTCCATACTTCAGAACAAGATCATTGGTGGTTTCACATTCTATCGTGTCAATGCTTGGTGTGCATCGTTTTATTAATCCAAGCTGCACACATGTTGTGAGGCCCAGAATCGGCTGTTTACTTACATCTGTAATCCAGAATTCATCAATTAGTGTTTGACCATTATAAACAAATTTCAAATCTACTATAGCTTTTGGTCTATACAATTGGCCTCCATAGGTACGAAACGACAACAAAGGTTTTGTCTGAACATTTACTCGCATCTTTTCAAAAATATCACAAGGAATAAAATTAACATCTGACCCACAATTAAGCTTAAAATCTAACATCATATTTTCAACCTGTAATTTAGTAAACCAACGTTCTTTCTTGATATTTACCAAGTTTACAGGTGGCAATTCTCTAACCACCGAGCTGACTACGACGTCATCTGATTCTCCGGGTTCATCGGCCCAGCCTCGTGATGTGGAATTTGACGAGCCTCCGGGATTCATCATGCATATTTCTTGATTCTGCATCGCACTACTCCAACAAGCCCGTTCAAAATGATGCATCCTACTGCATCTCCTACATCGCTGACCAAATGCTGGACATCTGCCTTTTGCATGCGTAGTCAAACAATAGGTGCATTGTACCAGGTTTCTACCACTTTGGGTTCCTCCAAACGATCCCCGATTATTTCGTAATGAGCCCCGTGTTGACACTATTCTGTTGACAGCTTCTACAGCAACATTGTTTGCCGCTCCGAAGTTTATGTTCTTTAACTGTTTACTCTTCGTTTCATCCAATCTTGCGGCTTCAATAGTGTCCTGCAAAGACACATCCTTCGAACAATCCTTCGTGATCAGCTTATCCCGCAATTCCTTGCTTTGGCATCCAAAAATGATACGATCTCGTATCATTTTATCTGGTTCGAGAGAGTTACAATCCTTCACCAGCGTTCGCAAATCTGTCAAAAAGTGTTCGAATGGTTCATCTTCTCTTTGTGAGCGGGAGAAGAATTTCCAACGTGAAAAGATCTCATTGTTTCGCGGGTTACAATAAGAGTCAAACTTTTCAATCACTTTTGAGTAAATGCTGCGCTCTTCATCAGTGAACACAAAAGTGTTATACACTCCGACCGCGTCATCGCCGATTAGGTTCAGCAGAGTAGCAATTTTCACTTTATCGGTTTTTGTATCATACCGGATCGCTGTGATGAAAAACTCAAACTGTTGCTTAAATCATTTCCAGTGATCAGCCACATTCCCCGACAAATCCAATGCATCTGGTCGTTTGAAACTATCCATTCTTACAGGTTCCTTTTCAGATGACTCCGACTGTAACACTATTGATCCTCGAAATCTCCCTATATCTCGCAACGTTGCAATCCGAGCTCGCTGCTGCCTGATACACTCCTCCGAATAAGTTTTCCGTCGCGGTTTCTTCCGTTTAAACGTAATCCGTAGGTCTGGTTTATCCGACGACTCAGACTTTTTCTTGATTTTCATCACTTGATGACTACCGACTGCGCCATGTTGTATTTGGCAAGGAAGAATAAAGTACACTTCTGTATTCTTTGGTGGTACTTAAAGAACTAAACTTTATTGCCGAATAGATGACACACATTCATACATATAATACACAGTAGAGGCTCTATCATATACAACAGTTTTGTCATTTCAACTATATATACTACATGATATAAGGGGCTACACGAGGCTCTACTAATGCCAACATAGAATGTACGTCAGCCTTTGCCGATTTGAGAAAAAGTTTATAAGAACACTAATAGACTATAGAAACTACCCATGTAACCAACAAGCCCGCTAATTCGCCTTTTTGCAATATAAGGCTAATATGCGGCTAATATAAAGCTTAGCATGCCCTATGTTAGCCGTGCATCAGCCTTATATTGCAAAAAGGCGAATTAGTGGACTTGTTGGTTACTTGGGTACAGTACCCGTCTTATGTCAAATGTTAGAACGAATTCATTAACGACTGGAGTCTGCAACCTGAATGATCCACAAAAAAAAACTGGGTTTGCAATTTTCGAAAATGTGCCAAAGGAAATTGCATCTGAAACTAAATAATATATAAGTTTATGAACCAGACCGAAGACTTACCATTTTTGTAAGATCGTCCAGGGGTTTGCCATTATCAACAATCTTTCAACTTAATTTGAGAAGTTAAAGAACCACTCCTCTGCTGTTACTTGGGTTCTCGATCTTAGCTTTTCATACAAAAGAGGGAATCGTTATAATTCTATTAAATATCCCAAGTAGCATTGCAAGTTTTAATGCGGTTTTAGAGCATTCTACAAATCATTGTCTACAGAACCTCCATAATATTGGTACATATAGGACCCCGTCTTGTCTGTTATACATATTATTTGTCCACTGCCTTTGGTAGAAATGCATGTCTCACATTCATACCTAAGCAACATTAGGGAATTGTTATAGTTCTATCAAATATCCCAAGTACTATTGCATGTTTTATTGCGGTTTTATAGCATTCTACAAGTCCATATAACTGTCTACAGAACCCTCATAATATTGGTACATATACGACCCAGTCTTGCCTGTTATATATCTTATTTGTCCACTGCCTTTGGTAGAAATGCATGTCTCACATTCATACCTAAGCAACATTTATCTGGTACAGTTACGGGAACGAGCTTCAGTCATAAGTAAACCTCCAATGGATAATGATCTACAGTGAGTTCTAATCACGTTTCTGGACAAAGAAAATCCACTGCATTGGAAAAGAAACCCGCCATCGTCACTAAAACCGCCATCACCATGGGAAATGAAGTAGGTAAAGAAGCGGAAGTCAAGAGTTCGTACGATAAAGTACTCCAACAAGCACAGGATATGGAGCGTTTAGTGACGCAAATATTGGAACGAAACGACAGTTCTCGAATTGTTGATGTTGAGAAGCAATTTGATAAACACAGTGTAACCGAGAAACCGAATAATAACTCAGGTTCAGGTTGTTGTCGGAAGCATGATTCGCCCAAGCCAAACGAATCCAGCCAGCTTATGCCATCGAAAACTCAACTGGCGACCAAAAACGCAGCCAAAACGAAGCTGCCAACATTCTCCGGTAATCCTGAAGAATGGCATTATTTCCGTGCCAGCTATGAAACATCAACAGCTGCGTGCGGATTCAATGATTCTGAAAATCTGGTACGATTGCGGGATAGCCTCCAAGGTCCAGCGCTCGAAAGCGTTCGAGGGCTGCTGATTCTTCCTAAGCTGGTACCAAAGGCAATCGATGCGCTTCATCGACTGTACGGCAATCCTGAAACCCTGCTTGAATGGCACTTGGAGAAAGTGAGGAAGCTGGAAAACCCGAATCCTAAAAAAATGAATACCTGTGTGTCATTTGCAAACGCTTTGGAACAGCTGTGCAATCTAATGGAAGCAGCAGAATTAGAATACCGATTGATTGACTCGGCTCTGTTCGAGGAACTTGTTTACAAACTACCCAATATGCAAATACTTGAATGGATCGACCATGCTAAACTTAAGAAATCCGTAACGCTTCGAACTTTCAGTGATTTTGCTTCGATGAAGGTAGCTAAGATGCGGGAAACTAATCCTACTGGCTACAGAGCAGTACTGAAGGAAGCACTACCTGATCAAGGGCCAAAAACGGATCAATCAAATTCCGTAAAAACCGGTGCAGTCAAACGCGAAAAATCGACTCTTGCCACTACTGCTGCTGCTGGTGAGAAAGGCAAGAAGGAATATAACAAACGTTGCCGATTGTGCAAACGATTTGGTCATCCCCTGTGGTACTGCCGAGAATTTTCCACAATGAAAGTGGAAGCCCGTACGGTGCTGGTAGAATCCTGGAACGTTTGCAAGATTTGTCTCGGTGATCATTTGATCGAAGGCAAGTCCAGATGTCCGCATAGAATTCGATGCAACGTCGGAAAGTGCCGTGAGAGCCACAACGCACTGTTGCATCCCGATGCGTCAGATGAAGTCAACGATAAATATTTGGATGTAATATGAATTTAATAAAGATTTTAATTTAAACAACAATCTCAATGAGTATGATATATTTTATGACAAATCCTTTATTCTATCCATTGTGGTTACTTCAAGGTATAAAGTTGGTCTACGATACAGTTGAAGACATTTTTTTCTACGTTTTGCAACGTTCAAATGCCTAAAAAAATCAACGGAGCCGAAAAACTTAACAATTCTACACTTGCTTTTGGTATATTTTATTCCGGAGGGGGGGGGGGGCATGATGCGTTCTTCTGTTTTTTTTCTGAGGTGGTACGATTCACCAGGTGCTGTGGCCCTCTCCTTTCCCAGAAATTCTCTTAACTTCTCTTTTCATTTCATTCCAGCACTAACCGTTCAGCCTCCTCTTCGTCTCTTTTCCCATGTCTGAGAGCTTCCAGGGTCACAACCTTCAGGAATTCATCCGATGCCTCTCCATATTGCTGAAGAAACACATGTTTTTGGTCCTGGCATAGAAACTGTTCCCCTTCCGATTGAGAAAATGGAGCGTCGGTGGAATTTAGTTCTGCACGTTCACATATACACCTCGCACAGTTGTGTACATGTCAAAGTCCAACTCCACATGATACATTTAGCTTTCTGGTATTTCCCCAGCACCTATGCTAGATAGAGATTTGGGACCTCTGGTGGTAGATCGTACCTTCGCACGTATTGAACGATATCCTTTGCATAATTGCTCGGACATTTCATTTCACTGAACCTTGGTTCAATTGATTTTGATGTGTTTTTTTCCAAAAATTCAAACTCAGTTTTTTTTAACATATTACGTAACATCAGATTGGAAAAATCAGTCGTCATTTTTTTTCCTATTGCCCTTTTGCAAAAGACGACAACAGCTTTTTGCAATCTATATTGACCCGTATGTAAAAATCAGAGTTTTAATTTTTAGAAACCGCATTTCCACTGTAGCAATACATTTTAACAGGTTTGAAATTGGAATCTCTCATTGTTTTAAGAATTATCAAATGCACTTCCAATTGGGAGTTTTGATATAAATTTTTACATGAATCTTCATTTTTTAATTCCCATATAGGGGAATTTACGTATTCTCGGCAACCTAAGCAGCGACCTTCTTTCTATAGCATTTTTCTCTAAGGAACGCACACATATGCAGTATTGGTTTGTTTACAATCTTTTGCTGCCAGCTGCTCTAACAATTTCAGTCGAAAGAATTGTCAAAAACTGTTTTGAAACGCTTTTACAAAGCTCCAATCTTCGCTAGTGAGAGCGAGTATTGTCGGCAACCAGTTTTTCTTCGGCAACCGTTCCATTTGAACTGCATGTAAATCTGCTGTTCTATTATCGGCAACTCGAAATCAGCTACAATTTGTAGTGCGTGTGTTGCATTTCAAGAAAACCTTGCTAGATTGCTTTTTCTCAGTGGTAAAAATATAGTCAAATTGAAGCTGAAAGCATAAAGAATCGTTTGCATGCATTCAGCGGAGTGTTTTCGTAAGAAAATCCAGTGAAAATAGTGTTTCAATTTGGGTTGCCGAAAATAGTCTGGCATGCCGAAGCCGTCATTTCCCCTATATGGGTTTCTGACGAATTTTTTTGAAACTATCTCCAGAATGCTCTCGGTATTCTTTCTTAATGTTTCTTCCAATTCATTTATATTTTCTGAAGAACTATTTTCGGCAACCCAAATTGAAACACTATTTTCACTGGATTTTCTTACGAAAACACTTCGCTGAATGCATGCAAACGATTCTTTATGCTTTCAGCTTCAATTTGACTATATTTTTACCACTGAGAAAAAGCAATCTAGCAAGGTTTTCTTGAAATGAAACACACGCACTACAAATTGTAGCTGATTTCGAGTTGCCGATAATAGATCAGCAGATTTACATGCAGTTCAAATGGAACGGTTGCCGAAGAAAAACTGGTTGCCGACAATACTCGCTCTCACTAGAGAAGATTGGAGCTTTGTAAAAGCGTTTCAAAACAGTTTTTGACAATTCTTTCGACTGAAATTGTTAGAGCAGCTGGCAGCAATAGATTGTAAACAAACCAATACTGCATATGTGTGCGTTCCTTAGAGAAAAAGGCTATAGAAAGAAGGTCGTTGCTTCGGTTGCCGAGAATACGTAAAATCCCCTATAACATTCTCATGAATACTTTTTTAAATCTGCTTAGAATGCTCCTGAAAATTAATTTAAATTCTCAGTATTCCCTAAGTATACTCATAAATTTACTTTGGAATTATTCTCAGTATCTCTTCAAATGATTCCAGAAATTGCATTCTCAAAACTCTCTTGAAACGCATTTTAGAATATCCATTAAAAATCTAGGAATGCTCATGTATTCATATGAAATTTTTCTCTGATTTCCTTTTGAAATTTACTCAGATTACGTTTGAATTCATCTTAGAATTATTTTGGACTGCTCTTATAAATACCTTGAATTTGCATCATAATTGTCTTGAAGTTCTTATCAAACATTCCTTGACATTTTTCACAAGATTCCCTATGAATTCTCCAAAAATTTTCATTGTAACAATCTTCAAAGTTTGATTCCTTTTTCTTCACGAAACTTCCATGGAACTCTCCCCATGAAACGTTTTTCCTGAAATTTACATTAGAACACTTTGATTTCTTCTCTTAATTCCTTAGGATCTTTAACCAGAATTCCCTTTGATTTTTTCTTGGAAATCGCCCGAAATTTTCATCACAAACCCCACGGAGTTCTACTCAGAATTGCCCCAGAATTATTTTTTTCCTTCTTACAAGCTCATGGGCCTTGCAAGTTTTTAACAGCTCAGAATCTTCAATATGTTACCAAATCTTAGATTTATATCTTCAATATTTCTCTTAGTTCCAACAAATTGAAAGTTTGTTCAAACATTATTAAGTATTCAAAAGTCTCGGAATCGGCCAGAGGTATAATTTTCTCCATGGATCTCGATTTTTTTCATGTAAAAAAAAAAAAAGGTTTATTGTGTTAAATTTCAAATCTAGCATCCGAAAAATTAATGAAACTTCAGAAAAATTTCGAAGACTGCAATCAGCGGCAAGATCCTCAGGGAAGCTGATAAATCTTAATAGCATTCACTATAACTGCTGAAACGTCCAGCCGTTCGGGCAAGTTTAGAGATCTGAGAAGGTTAGTTTCGATAAATTTAGGACAGCATCATGACCGTCAACAAAAGTTAAGAATCTTTAAGAAGTTCCAGATATTTCACGGAAGTTCAGAAAACTTCTGGACATTTTAAAGAGCGTTACACATATTTTGGAACTCAGCAGAATTCTGGAGATTTTCAAGAAAGTTTTTTAAGAAAGTTCAAATTATTTAAGAACGAGGAGTTCAGGGTAGCTTCGAGAACATTAGGGAAAATCACAGCTCTACAGGGCAGTTCAATAAGCTTCATGGAATCAGCAGGAAATTTATCAAAATTTGAAAAAACGACTTTGGGAATATCCGAAAACTTCAGCAAATTTAAGAGGTCTTCAGGGAACTTCAGAGAGCTTAAGAGAAGTGAAAAGGTTTTTAAGCAGTTTCATTATTTTCAGGTATGTTTCGAGGAAGAACAGAGAAATTCAGAGCAGTTTAATTAATTAATTGCTGAAACTTTCAAGAATTTCTGAGAAATTATGGAATGTTCCGAGAATTTCAGGAATATTCCAAAAATATCTGAAAGTTTACGGGGTCTTCAGGAAAGTTCCAAGAATATCAAGGAAATTTCTGGAACGATAGAGAAGTTCTGAAGATTTCCTGAAAATTTAGGGATCTAAAGGGAAGTGTAGATATTTTAAATAAAGTTTCAAGGAAGTATAGACAATTTCAGGTAAGTTGCGGGAGCTTTAGGATAGATCACATATCTTTAAGGCACACGTTCAATGATTATAACTCAAAATTGAGTCAAATTTGACTCAACATTGCAAAAAGTGGGGTTACTAATACAGCCGATCAAACCAACGCAAATTTGAGTTTTGTTCACTTAAATTCGCTAAAACGTAGTTAAAATGTTCCACGATTTTTCAGGAAAAAGTTTTACAATATGAGTTACTCAGTACATCGGGGCCTCCCTTAGCTCAGTAGGTAAAGGTGCAGCTACAAAGCAAAACCATGCTGGAGGTGACTGGGTTCGATTCCCGGTCCGGTCCAGGAATTTTTTGGGTTGGAAAATTTCTCGAGTTGGGCATAGAGTATGATTGTACTTTCCACACATTTATACTAATGCAAACATGGTACATTCATCGAAAGCTCTCAATTAATAACTGTGGACGTACATCTAGAACACTAAGTTGAGAGCACGTATTAAGCTAATATACGATAAGCAATAAGACTGAAATGTGAGGAAGAAGAATAATAATAATAATAAGAAGAAGAAGAATTTAATTTAGTCTATTAGCATAGAGGTAACTCTAAGACTAGAAGATCCCGAAGAAACGTGCTTAACTTTTTGGGTCAGCTCTGGTACTATCTTCGGTCCCAAGCACCCCTCGAAACCTGGGAAAATCCACGGACCCCTCATTTTATCTGCGAGGGGTATGAAGAATGGGGTACGTTAATCGATTTGCTTGGGACCAATAAGCTAGTCAAAGTAGTGAGCCAATTTAAAATCGTTAGTTTTCACTGGTTGCTATTAGTATACTCCTAGAGTTAGTAATATTTTCCTCATATTGTACCAGATTTTTTTTAGGAAAAGTGAGGAAAATTTGACTCAGTCTATGAGTAGTCTACGTTTTCGCAATTTTGAGTGAAAAACCACTAAATTTTTTGTCGAGCTTATCAGCCGTTCAGTAATGAGTTAAAAATTTCCTTATTTTTTTTTTTCCAGAAATAGCTTTATGAATATGAGGCAAATCGAGAAATATTTCACTCAGTCTATTAACGGGTGTTCAATACAAAATGAGAATGATTTCAGTGCCGTCCAGCGCTCTTGTGAGAGCATCGCGACTAAGTTGCGTCGTACGGCTGACCAGAGCCTCTTCTCCAATATTCATTGATGTTTTTTTTTGAAGAATAAACATTATGTTTTT